TAAAAAATATATTTTTTAAAAAAAATTTAAATTTTTTTATTTAAATAGTAACGTAAACAAATAGATGATATAGCAATGATAAGACATTTATGTCACGTGTTATAATTTTATTCGATATAAAAGTCATGTAAGCAATTTAACTAATAGTGTTAGGTTAAAATACCAAAATACTTGACAGAATAAAAGTTTTGATATCATATTAAAAATTTTATTTCATTAAATATCAATTTCACATAAAATTTATATAATACATAAACCATTTTTGTATTTAACCTAAAAAAATGAGTGACGGCATGTAATTGGTCCGGTTGCTAAAAAGGTATGAGGAGGAATAGCATAAACCAACAACTAGAGCAACGTTAAATGGGGGTGACAGTCACTGAAACTTGTGCATGAACTGCAAGTCCTATGAACTCGTATGCTACAGCAACGGTGAAAATGATATGCTAGATTTTGTAAGGAATACTCTAAGACCAATCTCTATGGAAAGTTTAAGTGTCACGGACCTAAAGAGGAGTCCTGAATCTCACATCGAATATAAAATGAGGGTCACTGGGGTATATAAGGGTTCACATCGTCTTCCCCTTGTGAAGCGCCTTTTGTAAGATAAAATCGTGAGGTCAGAGGGTTAGAGTGGACAATACCTCACAATGGTGTGAACTGTGGTGGTCAGGCTGATCTGAGATGCTAGATGAGTGGATGCCCGGGTCCTAGAGTTACGCAAGTCAGAGTTTAAGTCTCGACCCGTGACAAGTGGTATTAGAGCTAGCCCTAAACCGTTTGATCCATGTCAAACACCTCGAGGGAGATAGGCAAGATGGCTAACCTCTGTGATGAGAGCGTCACAAGGTTGGGTGAGAGAGAATATCATAAACCTAAGAAGGAGTCCTGAATCTCACATCGAACATAAAAGGAAGGTCACTGGGGTATACAAGTGTTCACACTGCTTTTCCAATGTGAGGCACCTTTTGTAGGATAAAACCGTGAGGTTAGGGGGTCAGAGCAGACAATATCTCACAATTGTGTGAACTATGGTGATCAAGCTGATCTAAGATGCTGGATGAGTGGATGTTTGGGTCTTGGAATCGCACGGGTCAGAGCTTAAGTATCGACTCGTGACACAAGTAGGCTGCTAGTTAATTATGAGAGGACAATGCTGTCAAGTTAAATTTTAAAATTTTAAGATGAGCATCGAATTTAAAATAAGTTAATAATTAATGAATATATTTTTCTATTTATGTACGTAGATTAATCTAATTCTTTTAAAGAATAGATTAATTTAAATTTAATGATGTAAAATTTATTTTATCAGTACCCTAATAGAATCATAGTATATAAAATAAAATTTTGACAGTTACAAAATTCCTAATCACCTCTGTAAGATTCTGGATCAAACATTTTTATTTTTATTTTATAATTAATTGCTAGAATCAAATTGGCCACTTATAGCTCCAATGGCTACGAGCCTTGGATGCAATATATCACCTAACAATAATTTATAATATATATAATCTAGTGAATTTTTTTTTAAAGAAAATCTAGTGATATTTGTTGATGCCCACTTTTGGTTGATTATGTTGTACTTGTTGACATATTTGATGCTCCAATAAATAGTTACAAGAAATTGCTATATAATGCAATATTAATACATTATTATCAATCCAAGAAATTAAAAAAAAAAGTACTCTCATATCAAATTGTGAGTTATCTTAATGAAGTTTAAGAAAAAAAATTAACTTTAATATATTTAATATTAAATTTTTAATTTTTAATAAAATTGATATTTCATAATTTTTACTATAAAAGTTTATAAAAAATAATTTCAAAAAATATAAAAAGATTTAAATGTTAAAAAAAAAAAAACCAATCATGTGACAATATGACCTAAATGTTTTTATGTCATGAGCTGTCTGCCTTGTTACATTATGGTTTTCCCATGAGCTAGCTTTTCTAGCATTCTTTTTTTTTTTGGCCATTCTTATTCAAATGTTATTCATTTTTATTTTGGTTTTTTTTTTTTGAAATTAAAAATCAATTATCTAAGATATTATAAAAAATTAAAAATTAAACTGTTTTAAGCTTTCCTGTTAAATTAAAATAGAAAAAGAAATTAGGATGATGAAAGTACATTTTTATCCCAAGATGTACATTTGGTTCAAATTTACTTTTCAATCTTCATACACCATTACTTAATTAGTTAATTTAAAGGTGGAGAATCTGGATTTATTGATGAAGACTGCTTTTCTTGGCCTGATCTTGCTCTTTTAACCTTTGGAAATAGCCTTAAGTGAATGTGCTCTTTTGGGTTCATTGTTTTTCTCATGTTTCTTTATTTTTTATTTTTTATTTTTGGCAAGTTGAATTAGCAAGTGCAAATATATTGAAATGACACTTTTTTTTATTGAATTTAGTGATTTGGGTTTGGATACTAGAAATAAAAAAAAAACCAAAATCCCTTTCAGTTTTCATGCTACGTTCATCTTCAAAATTAGTAAACATCCAAAACGATGGGCATTCAACTGGGAATCTTACTATTGTTTTTCCAATCACATGTCATCTAAGTAGAATAAATATGCATTAATTCAAATTGCCAAAAAGTTTCATTTATTTCGTGAATTGAAGCTGTTAATTTCATTCAAAAAGTGACAATTAATAGTCTCAATATGAGTGAAAATAAAAGGTGAAAGAATGACAAGGTTGAAAGAATTTGGGGTTTGAGAGTGTAATTTTAGGGAATGAGAATATGAAAGCAACTGTGATTTTAGGGGTGTAGAAAATAAAACTAATAAGAAAGCTAGTGATCAGAACCCGAGAACTGAGATTGATAAATTTAGGGCAGTAAAGGAATGGTGGAGTTTGTTCATACTTTAAGAGAACTAAATGCTTTTGTCAATCATTTAGCTAAATTTTATCAATAGGGCGTGAAGAGTATAATTTGAGGTGCAAATGAAAGCACTCTTATGAATTATCATGTTAAAATCTATTGCTAAAATGATTAAATAACATAACATTTGACAACAAAAATCTTGTTTGTTTTGTATTATTTTGGTTATCCTTCGACGGGTTGACAACAATAAAGTGTCTTTTTTCACATAAAAATAAAGGTAAAAGATGAAAAAAAATGAATTATAATTAAAAAAATCATTCAATTCTTTTTTTTAATTATAATCAATTAATTTCTCCAATATTTTTTTGTATCTAATTAAATTCTTATCTAAAAGGATTAAATTAAATTCTTATCTAAAAGAGTTAACATTGTTAATTTTTTTCAACTAAAATAAAATTTCATATGATGTTAAAGTTTGACACGTTGTGTGATTAATATAAGTGAAAATTAAATAAAATAAAAAATTTTTCTTCTTTTTTTACTTTTATTTTTTTGAAATCTATCTAAAGATTCACTTGGCTATAATTTAGAGATTACTTGATTCAATTTTTCCATATAATTAGATTTCATCAAATTAAAGGTTCAATTGAATCAAAATAAAAAATTAATGACTTGATTAATTGCATTAAAATATTAAAATTTTAAATAATTATTAAATTATATTTTAAGGACCTTTTTTAACCTTTATCTAAAAAAAAAAAAAAACAAACCAATTAGCATTTTTTTTTCATTTGCAATTTTTTTATTTTTTAAAAACCAAATAGCAAGAGATTAATAGTATCATCACAAAATGTCAAAATTTATTCCGTTGACTATGGAACGACAAATAAAGGTGAACAAGATTAAAAAATTCTTAAATACACAAGGATAAAATCATCAAATATTATGTATTATTTATTTATTTGAAAGAGAGCAAATAAACTATAAATTATATTCCTAAAATCCTAGAAAACATGGGATAGAGTATTCCTTTAAGTGAAGGGAATAAACTATTTCTAGTTTGATTAAGAAAATTGGCCCATGACTGGATTAACTGTTCTTTTTGAAAAGTGAACTAAACATAGAAAATATTGGTAAAAAAAAAAAAAGAAAAACTAAACATGGAAGCTAGCTGATCCTTCAAGCGAAAATAGATTTTTTTCTCTAAAGGGTATCTTTAGGTTTTATTTGAACCTCACTTTCCTGTTCAGGTGATTTTACAAATTCGTATTTTCATGTTAATTTGATATATTTAAAATTTTATTCTTAAACTGTATCTCGCACAATAAAAATTTTAAATTTTCAGGATTTTTTTAAAAATCCAAAATTAAAAAGAAAAAAACCACACTACACGGCTAGTTATACAATTAAAAGCTAAATAAAAAAACAATACTCACCAATTTAAACTTGATAATTTTAAATGTGTTATGGTAACATAATATAAAAATAATATAAAAATATGAAAAATGATATTATTTAAAATTTTAATAAAAATTATATATAAAATTAATAAAAATAAAAAATTTATTTCGTATTTAATGTATTGATGAAAAATTAATAAAATTAATATTTTATTTTATACATATTTAACATGAAATAAATATGATATTAATATATATAGATCATCAAAATTACACTAACCACATCCTTGAACCTAAAAATATCCAAAAATCAACTCGTGTAGAGCCCTTTCCATGTTAAAATCAATATACTTTAAAATTACTTGTAAGATTGTTCCATAGGATATTAAAATTATTCATAATTTAATTTCACATATGAGTATACTTTGAAAATTATATATGCCACGTCCTCAACGCTCAAACTTCAAATTTTCATATTCCAATTATATAATAAGTGATAAAAAATTTATAAAATAAAAATCTCTTATGGTATAATTTAGATCATATATATTAAAATATATTTAAGTTAAATGATATAATTATCACAAGCAACATCAGAACAAAAATAAAGCTGTTTAACTAAGAATAGTAGAGAGTTAAAAGAAAAAGATGAGAATGGTCTATTTGGGTTACGAAGGAAGGCATAAAAATGAAGAGAAAAAGAAAAGAAAATATTTTCAAATAACTAAAAAAATATATATAAAATAGAGAAAAAGTAATAAAGAAAAAAAAAAAAATCTAGTAAAAAGTGAAAGGCCAACATGGCCGGTGCCATCGTCACTGGATCTTTTTTCCTTTACTAACGACCTTGCCTGCCCCAAGCTCTTAAAAATCTTTTCCTTTGCTTTCTTTTACTTCCAAGCGTCAGCCAAAAAAAATACTTCTCTCTTCTTCTCAATCTCCTCTTTTGATCTTCCTCCCTTCACCATCATAATTCATTCATTTTCTCTCTCAATTTGCAAATCTCAAAAAGTCTAAAAGATAATGAGATAAAGTTGGAGAGAGAAACACTCACCCAATACATATCACTGCAATAATTCACTTTTTCTTTTCCACTATCTTTTAATTTGCCACTTCCACTTATCTCTTTCCCTTCTCTTCTTCACGTAGAGAGATCTCTCTCTCTCAAGGTATCCTTCTTCTTCTTCCTCTTTGATCATCTTCTATTTCTGTTTCCTCTCTCTATCTCTTTTTTTTTTTTGACATACTATGATCAAGGGAAAGTTCATTTCTTTTATCATACTCATTTGGATCTCCATTTTTTTCGTGTTTGATTTGATGTTTATTGATCTGGGTATGCTTGATCTTGTCTTAATTTAATGGGTTTTGTTTCTTTTTCCTTAATTCTTTTTTTATCTGCATGTCTAATGTCCATTTTTCAGATTGTTCTCCTATTTTTTGCCTTTAAGCTGCTTGATCATAATGATTTTTGTCTGTTTGCTGCTTCTTAAATCTTTCTTTATTCAACTTTCTGTTGTACATGTACGGAAATGTGTAGAATTCAGTTTTATGGCAGTGCCTGTGGAAATTATTTAATTTGTTATTGTAACTGAGCATTAGAGATTAGAAGATCTTAGCTTTGAGCCAAGTTTTGAATGGTTGTTCCGTTCGTCACCCTGTTTTTTTCATGCTTTTTGATCCCGTGATTGATCGTGTTAATTGTTGCTTGGATTCCTCATCAATGGCACTAGTGCTAAAAATCCTTTGCTGCCTTGCAACCTTTTGTTTATTTGTGTGATCAAATCAAACTGTACATTGCTTTCCTCGGAGTGCTCGTTATGAGTGATTTTTAGGATGCGGATTTGAGCAAGATTGATGAGGGTATTCTTCTAAGAGCTTAGAACAACCGCGAGCAAACTTTTGAAACTTGGGCATTGTGGGATAAGTGGTCCCTTGTTATATTAGTATGAAAATGAGATGATTGGTTTAAAGAAAAGGAGTTTTTTTTTTTTTTGCCAGAAGAATAGGAGTTTATTAATTTCCCTATCATGTGAATTTGGCAAATTTGTGCAGTGGAAAGATGATTATTTTCACTTTTAATGAAGAATGCTGACTGGGGTGCTAATAATGTGAACTTCATCTTGATGTTTTGAATTCTGCAATGCAAGATGCATGGACAGAACTCATTGTTCATGTTTATTCAAGCTGAAAAGTTGCACCTAAGTCCTAATCCTTCATAAAACAGTACAGAATATACAATTAGTAATATGAGATCAACTTTATGGAAGATTTCTCTTTTATGCTTTTTTTTTTGTCACTAGTTTAAAGAAGAGGATCAGCTAATTGCTGAGTCTTTGGATGGATAATTATCATTTGGAACTAAAGACGTAATTAGTGTAGTAGCCTAAATAATTCATGGAACATTTAGAGTGGACGAGTAGATCTGATTTAAAAAGCACAATGTAATGTGGCTTTGTTGAAGGGAAGATATTAAACCACATTAATGTGGATCAACTTCCAAGCATTAATGTAAAGAGGGGGAAAGGTTTTATGTTCCTCGGTTTCCATGTGTTTAAGGATTCTTTTCAAGATTATCTTTCTCAAACCAAATGCATGCTTCTGTGATACTTGGTTTCTCAACTTGTTATGAAATGATTATGTCGCTTCATTGTACAAATAATAATGTATAGAAATAACAGTTTTTTATGGGAAGTTGGCCATCATGCTGACCAACAAAGAAGGTCCTGGAGAAGACAGGATTGGGCTATTAAGATAATTAAGGTTATTGACAATTGTTTTAATTAGAAGCAATAAATGTTAAGTGAGCTGGGTTGTGTGCTAGCACACGGAAAGACCAAACATGTTTTAGTGGTTACTTGAATGATGAAAGAAATTAAACCAAGTTAGCATGCAAACAAGATGTCCTATGAAAGTCTTCCTTAGAGGAGAATAATTGAATGCAATTTGTTGATTAGTAGTCTTATGCATCAGCATGTTGATAAATCTGCTCAGCTATGTTAGATGACTTGGGTACAGGTGGTTGGATGCTGCATGTTAAATTTTTTTTTTCAATCATTTAGAGTATCCAAAATACATGAAGTAGAGTTGATAAGTCTGGCAAATATCTGATGCAGGTCATTCAAGTATACGATCTTTTTTTTCTTTTTTCTCAATTTCTTAGGCTACTTCATTTTTCCCTGGATAAAGAGATAATTGTGTGTGTGCGCGTATGTGATGGAACTTAGGAAAGTCCATCTTTCTAATCAAATTATCATTCAGTTTGTGTGAAATTTCTTAATGCTGGACCTTGATAATACGTGTGTGCTGCTAACATTTGCTTGTTGCTGGAGATTGTGAAAAGCTGTGACTTCTTTCTTTTTGAATTGCTTCTGTTATAGAAAGCAAAACTGATTTTTTGCTTTTGCCCAGATTATTAGACTCTTAATTTTTTTGTTTTCTGCTTATATAGTGCACTGGGATATAGGAACGTATTTTTAGTCAACTTAAATTGTCATAGACATTGGTTAAAAAGGTTTTGTTCTTTTTTAATTTTATTTTGTACTTTAACTTAATTTTTCCTTGCATGATCTAATACCCGAATTTTCTCCAGTAAGTTTTGTGCAACTTCCAGACTGCTGAAGGTTGGATTCTCAAGTTGAGCTATACTGTTTTTGGTTAAGAAGACAGATATAAAGAAGAATTCTGAGAAATGTCTAGCTCTGTAAAACTTCTGGATCCTGCATTTCAAGGAGTGGGTCAGAAACCGTATCCTTAAAATGAAGGGCATATTAGTTATGAAATTATGGACTTATTTTTTTTAACTTTCTTTTATATATGAGTATATTGTTTTTTTTTTTTCTTTTGTAAGGGAGACTGAAATCAATCACTAAGTTTTTCCCACTGCCAGCAGCCGAAAAAAAAAGAGATGATGACAAGTGCTCTTTTTTTCTTTTTGAGATGGTTGCATATATGTCATAATAATTTTTTACGATAAGGCTGTCGCACTTGACATCTTGTAGTGGGACTGAAATCTGGCGTATTGAGAATTTTCAACCAGTTCCGTTGCCAAAGTCTGACTATGGAAAATTCTACATGGGGGATTCTTACATTGTCTTACAGGTGATGCACACCCACACAACATACATTTCTCTCCTTTATTCTGGGCCTGGATAAATCATTTAAGGTGAATCACTGCTCCTTTATTTTTATACCTCATTCACTTTTTTTATATATTTTTTGTAGACAACACCTAGCAAGGGTGGTTCATATCTGTATGATATACACTTCTGGATTGGGAAAGATACAAGTCAGGTGTGCTTTTTCTGCATATACTTTTCTTAATTTGTTGAGGATTTAAATTCCTTCAAATGAGCTAAACATCATTTGAGATTGTGTTGTCACATGCAGGATGAGGCTGGAACAGCAGCTATCAAAACTGTTGAGCTAGATGCAGTACTAGGTGGCCGTGCTGTGCAGCACAGGGAACTTCAAGGCCATGAATCTGATAAATTTTTGTCTTACTTTAAACCATGCATTATACCATTGGAGGGTGGTATTGCTTCTGGATTTAAAAAACCAGAAGAAGAAGAGTTTGAAACACGGTTGTATGTCTGCAGAGGAAAGAGAGTTGTTAGATTGAAGCAGGTAGCTGATGTTCTTTACATAAGTTTGATGAATAAGGATAGAAAGAAGAAGAAAGAAAAGAAAAGTTTCATGAACTAATTAAAAACTATTTAATATGGGACTATTGTGGATCAGGGAAATACCATTCTGTATTATGCACTTGCAGATTCCTTTTGCTCGGTCTTCACTGAATCATGATGATGTATTTATCCTGGACACTCAGAATAAGATTTATCAGTTCAATGGTGCAAACTCAAATATTCAGGAAAGGGCGAAGGCATTAGAAGTTATTCAGTTTTTAAAGGAAAAGTATCATGATGGAACATGTAATGTTGCAATTGTTGGTAAGGATACATGTATTTACAGCATAGATGATGTTGTTTTCCAGCTTCTCTACTTCTATACAAGTATTAATTGAATTGCATTCCAAGTTTATTTATTTTACTCTATCTAAAGCTGGCACTTTTCAAATGCATAAATGGAATCACCCTGCCAGATGATGGGAAATTGGACACTGAGTCCGACTCTGGTGAGTTCTGGGTCCTCTTTGGTGGTTTTGCTCCAATAGGCAAGAAGGTTACCAGTGAAGATGATGTTATCCCTGAGACTATTCCTGCTAAACTTTATAGGTAATTGTATCTTCCATTTTTTCTACTAGTGGGGAAATCAAGATTTCAGCATGTCTAAAATTTTTCCAGAGTTAGATGCTAAAACTATTTATCCTATTTATATGTTGGTAACAGTACTTAAGTTTCTTAGTGATTACAACCAGATTAATAAGCTAGCCCCAACCTCTTACCCAAATGAAATCATCAGATAAAATTAAGCTACTGTGCCAAGGGTCTGGAAGAGTGGAACAACACTCTTAACTTTTTTCTTTTCTTTGCAGCAAGCTCATATCAAAGATCCTTTTTCGTTCTTGAAATCTTCAGCTTCCACATATTTCTCTATCACTTTTAATTTATACCTTCAATATAACAATCCTTAAAATGAAGCTGTCCTCTTTTGGCTAATATTTACCCTAAAATCTCAACCAGTGGAAGTATGAAACCTTGTCAGTTCTAAAGCAACCAACTCTAAACCTGTTTATTTATATTGCAAACTCTAATACCCATTATTTTTAGTTTTATCCAATCTGTTAAATGTCATGTCATTTTTCTCGCATGTTCTTTTGGAATTTCTGTGGAAAAACTAAGAAATAAAACAGTGTGGAAAACTAAGAGAAAAAACTGAATGTATATTGAAAAACTGCTCATTAAAAATTATACAAGCACCTTAGGTTTATATAAAACTAACTAGGGGTTCAACTAAGAAACTAAATCTTCCTAAAAAGTGATCCTATAATTGAGGGATTGTCTATCCTAATTTTTTGTCCTTAATTCTGGGGATACAAATACTTAATTCTAGAGATACAAATATAAATATACAAATTACAAGATTACAACCAATTGTAAATAAATGTTTTCTCACACTCCCCCTCAAGCTGGTGAATAGGTGTTTTCCATTCCCAACTTGAAAATAATTTCTTAAAATGTTGCACTACTGAGACCTTTAGTCAACACATCTGCAAGTTAACCTTTAGTTGATACATAAGGTGTACAAATCAACCCACTATCTAGTTTCTCCTTTATGAAATGCTGGTCTACTTCAATGTGTTTTGTTCTGTCATGTTGCACAGGATTGTGTGCAATGCTTATTGTAGACTTGTTATCACAGTAGACTCTCATTGGTCCATCCCACTTAATCTTCAAGTCTTTTAGGATAATCTTTAACCATAATAGTTCAAAAATTCCTTGAGCCATTACTCTAAACTCTGCTTCAGCACTTGATCTTGCCACCATATTCTATTTTTTACTCCTCTAAGTTACAAGATTACCATCTAAGAAAGTGCAGTAGCCTGAGGTAGATCTTTTATCATTTATTGAACCTGCATAATTAGCATCTATGTATGCTTCTAGAACTAGCCCCGAATTTCTTTTGAATAAGATACCTCTCCCAGGATTGGCCTTCAAATAGTGCAATACACGGTAGACAGCCTATTGGTGCACTTCTTTAGGACTATGCATAAATTGACTTATCACACTCACAGCATATGCTATATCAGGTCTAGTATGTGAGAGATAAATGAGTCTTCCAACTAATCTCTCTATATCTACAACAGCATCTTCATTAGCTTTTCCAATTTTATGATTAGGATCTATAGGGTTATTTATAGGTTTACATGCGAGCTTCCCAATTTCCTTCAAAAGATCCATCACATATTTTTGTTGTGAGATGAAAATACCATGCTGTGAGTGAGCTACTTCAATTCCTAGGAAGTACTTCAATCTCCTTAGCTCTTTTATATCAAATTCTCTAGCCAAACATTGTTTTAGAGATTCCCTCTCTTTTTCATCATCTCCAGTTACAATTATATCATCAACATACACTAATAGAACTGTGACTCTCCCTGAATCAGAGTGCTTGATAAATAATGTGTGATCTCCTTGACTTTGTTTATATCCCATTGCTAGCATCACTTTGGTAAATCTCCCGAACCAAGCCCTAGGAGACTGTTTAAGGCCATATAAAGCCTTTTTCAGCTTGCATACTTTGTTTGCTTCTATATGACTTCCAAATCCTGGTGGAACCTTCATATATATTTCTTCTTCCAAATCACCATATAGAAAAGCATTTTTTACATCAAATTGTTGAAGCTGCCAATTGTAATTTGTAGCCAATGATAACAAAATCCTAACTGTATTCATCTTAGCAACTAGAGCAAAAGTTTCTTGATAATCCACTCCATAGGTTTGAGTATAGCCCTTAGCCACTATCCTGGCTTTATACTTTTCAACAATACCATTCGCCTTGTGTTTTGTAGTGAAAACCCATTTACACCCCATTGGATTTTTTCCTTTAAGCAACTCTACCAGTTCCCATGTCTTATTTTTCTCTAAGGCCTCCATTTCTAGTTTCATGGCTTGCCTTCATTTCTCACCGGATAATACCTCGGATAATGTAGTTGGAACAGAAATAGTGTTTAGGCTCACAAGAAAATTTTTGTAGGATTGTGAGAATTTTTCAAATGACACAAAATTAAAGATTGGGTGTAGCGGACATTTAGTACATTCTTTTCTTCCTTTCCTGATGGCAATAGACAAATCATAATCACTAGTTATAATTTTAGAAGATTCATGCACATTTTGAGAAACAGAGTCAGAGACTGTAGTTACCTCATTTCCAGAGTTAGGATCAGGTTCTTAGATTGGCACTGGTTTAGGATCTGGAACTTTCCTTCTTGAGTACACTTGTAATTCCTTCATAGAATCAAGAACAATATTATCCTTTGTCACATCTTTTGTGTTTGGAATAGGTTCAGACTCAAATTTAGTGTTTGACTTGGGCTCAACAAAAATGGGTTTCGACTCAGAAGAATTAATGGGTGAAAATATTGAAGAAGAGGACAAGTCAAGCAAAAAAAAGTCTTTATCCTTATCTTCCATGAATGAAGTCTCCCCCTGAAGATAAGGTTGAGTAAAAAATGGTTTACTTTCTTCAAAAGTGACATTTGCAGACACATAGAATTTTTTGGTTGGAGGATGATAACACTTATACCCATTCTGAGTTGATGAATATCCCACAAAAATGCACTTAACTGCTCTACGATCCAACTTCCCCCTATTGTGACTGTGAACATGAACAAATGATGTACAACCAAATATCCTAGGTGTGAGGTTGTTTGTGGTATTAAAGTCAGGATAGAATTGTGAGAGTAGTTTCATAGGAGTTTTCAATCCCAAAACCCTTAAAGGCAACCTATTTATAGTATTTGTGGCAGTGAGAATAGCTTCCCCCTAGTAAGATTTTGGTACGTTTACTTGAAAAGTCAAGCTCAGGTTGTGGCTAGTAAATGACTGTTTTTCCTCTCTGTCACTCCATTATGCTGTGGAATATTAAAATAAAATGACTCATTGATAATCTCCTCTTTTTGGAAATAGGTAGATAAACTTTGGTTAAAATAGTCTCTTGCATTATCAGACCTATATCTCTTGATTTTCACTCCAAATTGATTTTGGATCATGTTTTGGAGGCTAAAAAATACACTATTCACATCTGATTTGGATTTTAGTAAAAATATCCAAGAGACCCTGGTACAATCATCTATTAAAGAAACAAACCACCTTGCACTTGAAATATTAGGAATTGTAGAGGGAACCCATATGTCATTATGAATCAAGTAAAAAGGAGTAGAACTTCTTTTATTGCTAACTGAAAAAGACACACTCTATGCTTTGCAAGTTCACAGACATCACAATGAAAATTTTCGGCATTTAATCCTTTGAACAAAGAAGGAAACATATTTTTCAAAGTTCCAAAAGAAAGATGTCCAAGACGAAAATGATAAAATTAGATTTTGTCTTTATTGAGAGATTTTTCATAAAGAAATGACAAAGATAAACTATTCTTGATATTACTTGTGTTGTTTGATGTCTCAAGATAGTATAGTCCAAATTTCTTCTTAGCAAGTCCAATTCTCTTCCCCGAACTCTAGTCTTGAAATTCACAATAAGAGGGATAAAAAGTCACTTTGCAGTTTATATCTTTGGTAAGTTTTTGTATAGATATCATATTAATAGACAATCCAGGAACATGAAGAACATTTTTAAGAACAAACGAGGGATTAATTTGAACATCTTCTAATCCTGCCACTGTAGTAAGTGAATCATCTGCAACAACAATTTTCTTATTACTAGGACACAGGGTACATGTACTAAACTTCTGTGAAGAATGTGTCATATGGTTTGTGGCTCCTGAGTCAATGACCCAAGAACTCGTAATAGGCTTAACCGAGACATTTATCCATGAGAACCAGAAGCTTTACCTGAACTAGAGACCTTACCGAAGGAACATACCCTAGTAGGCTTTTCAAGGGTTTTCAATAGGTTTCTCAACTTTTCAATCTCTTCTCTGTCCAACTCTCCTTGTTTCCGACACATCTGTAGTATTATAGTGATTTTCCTAGTTAGACACTTCCTCTAATTGGGTGGTAGTAATATCTCTCTTTGAACTGAAACAAGTCTTAAGATATAACCAGAAATGACTCTTAGCAATGAAGGCTAAAGAAGGGAAAAATAAAATGGCTATGAAAGCCTTAACAGAGTACGGCAATGAAGGCCTAAAATAGAAATCAGCAACGAAGGCTGAAAATTTTGCTTCCCAAGTAGAGCGTAAAGCTCTGATACCATGTGAAAAAACTAAGAAATAAAACAGTGCGAAAAACTAAGAGAAAAAACTGAATGTATATTAAAAAACTGTTCATTAAAAATTATACAAGGACCTTAGGTTTATATACAACTAGCTAGATGTTAAACTAGGAAACTAAATCTTTCTAAACTAGGAAACTAAATCTTTCTAAAAACTGATCCTATAATGGAGGGATTGTCTATCCTAATTTTTTGTCCTTAATTCTAGGGATACAAATACTTAATTCTAGAGATACAAATATAAATATACAGATTACAAGATTACAATCAGCTGTAAATAAGTGTTTTTCCACAATTGCTATCAATTATCTTTGTGCTGCAAGAAATCTAAAATTAAGTTCTTTAATATGTTATCAAGAATGTTGACTAGTACTGAAGTCATGAGGCAGCATTAAAGATTAAGGTCAGAATTATTTAATTTGTACACTATATTGCTTTTTCTTCTTAATCGAAAAGGAAAAGGAGAAAAAGATATTTATAGTGGATATTAAAAAGCCTTCCTGTGTATAGGCAATTTTGCTGGACAGAATAAACTAACAGATTAAGCTTATTTTAAATTGTTCACTGGACAGATTAAGAATGTTCTTATGGTCACCATTATTAAGGCTAATATAGATGAACTGAACTTTCTTTGGTTAGATACTTGTTTTCTGGTAGAGCATCTCTTTTGGTGCAATTTTAAGTGAGTAGGCACTCCTGATTGAAATTATTTTAGATGATATTAGTTTATTTTACATTTGTTTTTAAAGGTGTATGTCTTTATTAACTGCTAATTTGAATCTGTTCTGTAGCATAACTGAGCTGAGGTAATTGATTTGAATGAACTATCGAAAGCCTCCTGAAAACAACAATGTATCTACTAATGTTTCTGAGTTTTTGTTTCGACATTGACACAAGTAGAGGACAAAAAGACCTGTCAAGTTGCTGAAGGGCTAAGCATAAGCATTGATTTCTCATGTATTTAAAGAATATTAATTCTCATTCCACTCTTTTATCTCCAGGATTTTACTGCTGGTGAGAGTAGATCAAAAAACACGCATAACCGTGTCATCCAAGGTATGAAACCAAACATTCAAGTTCAGACTTTGATTCTTGCCCGGTCAGGTCTACAGTCTGGTGGTGAGTGAGGTAAGAGGAAAGTAGCCGGTAGGAACTTTTATAAGGCTACAAATACACTATTATATTTTTTGTAGTTAACATTATTGAATGGTATTTTTTACTGCAAGCTTTCCTGAAGCAACAAGGAGTTGGTGTCAAGGGGATGAGCAAAAGTGCTCCTGTTAATGAAGAAGTTCCTCCTTTGCTTGAAGGCGGTGGAAAGATGGAGGTCGAGTTAATAGTCTGCTTTTAGTTGCTTTTTGGTATTTGACTTAAAAGACACAAACCTGTTTACATGAGTATGGTGTTGTTTTTACAGGTATGGTGCATCAATGGCAGTGCCAAGACACCATTGCCAAAAGAGGATATTGGTAAATTCTATAGTGGAGACTGCTACATTGTTCTTTATACCTACCACTCAGGTGACAGGAAAGAAGATTACTTTCTATGCTGTTGGATTGGAAAGGATAGCATTGAGGTAATTTACATTGTTCTTAGATGTGTTGGAAATAATTTAAATGATTTGCCCTTTAAGTCATTCATCTTCAACTTTTTGTTCATGATAGAACTGCCTTCCACATGGCAATGTGAAACAGTGAATTTGATGTTACTGCCAGGATGAGCTCCTTGTCATTACTGAAAGAATGATAGATATGCTTCCTATTTGAGTGCCTCCCCCTGATATGGAATTTAGAAGTTGCCTTCCAAATTTCTTTCACATCACAAACTTGGACTGCCACCTAATCTGGTTTCTTAAGCGGTCTAATTCATTTCCTTTTCAGCAGGCTTACTCTATCTAGGCATTCATAGGTATCTTTAATTTTGGTCCCTTGTCGACTTTGAAACACCTTGAATTAAACCATAGATGGAGGGTAGAATTTTGATTGCACTTATTGGATTCTATAAATATAAGATCAGGCTATGAAAATAGTGAACAAGCAAATACTTACATATAACAGTCCTGCATCACTTCAGTTTAAGTCAAGATATTTGGTAAAAATCTGAGAATCTATAAAAACCTAAGAAGCATGGACACTCCATCCACCCTTGTGTACTGGTGTTGTATCGGTGTACGACATGGACACAGCGCCGAGACACTGGAATACATACGGGACATGCTGGTACACAGCAAAAAATAAAAAACAAGTTGGACACGATCCCAACACAGTCAAGACATGGTTGGACATGAGTTAGGTGGCGAAAATGGTAAAAAAATGAGATGAAGGCCATGGGTCTTTTTGTAGATCTAGGTTTTTCTAATGGTTTTTTTTTTTTGGAAAATCTAGCCTGATAGAAAGAAAGAGGGGGCTGAAAGGAGTTTTCTGGTGTTCTTTGGAGGAATTTTGACATTAGTGGATGGGGGCCGGCGGCTAGCAACCAAAAACTGGGTAAAGGGAAGCTGTAGGAGACGGTAATTTGGGGAAAAAAAAATTTTTTTTTTGATAGAGGGAAAGATTCTTTTTAGAGATAGAGAAATTGTAGGGAGAGACAGTGAAAGAGGAAAAAAAAGGAAAAAAAAATCTTTCATGCCATGTCAACTATCTGTTTGCTTTAATATTATTGGGTACGAGCTTTTCCTTTCCAGATACACTTCTCCCTTGTGTTTCTTTTGTGCATTCTCCTTTCCCAGGTTGCGCATTGGGCTAAATAATAAAATTCCTGCCCCCATCCCTATAAATAATTGAGATTTAATTGGCAGTTTCCCACCCAATCCTAGCCCAATCTATTTGCTTAAACCATTGCATTTCCGGCTTATGCTATAAAAAATTTTGTTGTTTGTTTAAGCCCAGATGTTAGAATCTTTTGATTTTGAGTAAATTAATGACAAAAAATAGAATAAAAAATTTCTATTAATAGTTTTTTGTTTCATAGTTTATCTAAAATATTCAATGGGATGTTTATTATATATTTTGTGTAATAATTTAGAATTTTGTGACAATTTAATTATAAATTAATAAGAAGTATTAGTATTTACATTTATATCAAATATTTTTGCATAAAAATATATAAAAAATTTTTTTTTGCAGTGTCCTGCCTTACGCCTGTCCTTATTTTTTAAAAAATTACCGTGTTTTTGTGTCTGTGTCATGTTGTACCTGTATTACAAGTCTGTGTTTGTACTTCCTGCTATAAAACTTATCATATTCTAATTTGGGTTGCAACAATTGATGCTGGAAACTGATCTGTGTTGAGGGGAGTCCTAATCTGGATGCATCTGCAATGGGTATGAATAGTAGGGAGATGTTCTTCATTGCACTAATAGAGCAATTAGTGGCTGGGAATTAAGATTACTTGACAAATTAAACAAGTAAAAGAAGATAAATTGAAAAAAAAGCAAGGCCCATAATCCTCACGCATTCTGGAATCTGACAATATTACCACAGCACCCATGCTACCCTGAACATAAAAATTAAAAGGAAAAAGAAAAAACTGAAATCTCTGATGTGAAATTTAAAAAGGAGGAATTTGAAAGCTGCTATATTTTTTCCCATTGATGATTCTACGTTAACCTTCACCTGTATCTCTGCTAGTGACACCTAGTGCACCTCATAGTTTTAGTTCTAAATATAATTTTAACATGTTAACTTTTTTTGCAACAAGTTCCACTTTTATTGTCATTGTTGATTTTTGAGAATTTTAACATATGCTTTACAATTTGTTGTGCTTACTTTGTATGATGAATTGGTTGGCTTATTTAGTGGTGACAATATCTACTTCATTCAGTTTGTTTTCTGCATTAATTCTAAATCTCTCCTTTTTACTTTTCCCATTCGTAGCTTCTATCCTTCATTTCTTTGCATAGAAGAAAGATGTGCTTATGTAGTTGCATGTTAACATGATGGACTTCAGTCTGTTTATGGTCATTCTCACTACTTAAAACTTTTATTTTCTAAAAGTCTATATATTTCTTAATTCAGGAGGACCGAAAGATGGCTGCTCGGTTGGCTAATACAATGTTTAACTCACTTAAGGGGAGGCCTGTTCAGGTATCATACTACCTTTGGCCAAGTAGTATGATTCTAACACTTTTGTTTCTAATAGATGCTTCTCAGGGTCGAGTGTTTGAAGGTAAAGAGCCACCCCAGTTCATTGCACTTTTTCAACCTATGGTGGTCCTTAAGGTATTCAATTTTACCTCAAAGTTTTAGAATCTCATGACCAATTGCTTGGGAGTTTTTGGTTTAGAATTGGAGGTTGTCAACAAATTTTCCTAAGATTGATTCCTGTTTAGGGTGGTCTAAGCACTGGTTACAAAAAGAATATAGCAGACAAAGGCTTGACAGATGAATCCTACACGGCAGATTGTGTTGCTCTATTTCGTATATCAGGAACCTCCATTCACAATAATAAAGCATTGCAAGTTGATGCGGTATGCATTAGTTGGTTATTTTGTCTCTTTTTGCTCTTTATATTATGTTTGGTTGGTTTTAAACTTCCAATGCATGAATGTGTTTTTCCTTAAAACTTACATGCAAAAAACTAGTTTAATTTGTTTTGCATTCAAGTACCTTTTAGACCCTAAGATTTCATGTTGCCACCATTAAGTGTATAATCTTGTTTGATGTAACACCTTTTTTCAATTTGCACTGAAAAGTTGGTAGTTTAAGTTTTCTTTGATTTTGAGAAATTGATTGAAAGTTCGGCAACTAAATATGTAAACCATCAAATATTTCTTTGTTCTTTTATGAAGTTGTGGGGAATTGTGTTTGTTTCATTGTTAAAATTTATGCCATTAAAAGATATCTCATTGCTTTGGCCTAACTTTAAATGGCCTTTCCCTATTTCAATGATTTTGAGATATTCTGCAGGGGTTTTTTTTTTTTTGTTCTGAAAGGTGGTAAGAAAATTTCTTCCTATCATACTCTGAAAGCATTTTTGTAGTTCATTTGCGATTCGACATCAATTTCGGTGGTGTGCAGAAAACGCGTCTAACATGTAGTATATTGACAGTGTCCCTTTACACATGAAAATGCTTGTCTAGTTGAAGGTCCCATCCCTTTTGCTATTTTCTTCAAAGAGAAAAAAAACCCTCTTTGCTATCATTAACTAAATTTCAAACAAATTATCGTGTAACATATTATTTGCTTAGTCAAAGGAACTTCAATCATAGTTTCTTGTGTTTAGTCAATAGTCTCATAAAAGAAATTTGGTTTCCCTTCCACGTTGGTCTTATTTTCTATTACACATATGATTGATTACCATGTGAAAATGAATCCATGTGATAAATATTTTTTTTAACTGAATCGGTTGCTATCTTGCATTAGTTGAAATATTCAAATGGCAAGTCTTCTGAGAATTTGATTGTTTCTTAAGAGCAAACTGTACTCTGGATTTTGTTATTCTCTAATGCTGTATGTGAAACTCAATGATAAAAGGTCTTATGCAAGATGTGATTTTTTTCAGAAATTTAGGATTAAAAGAACTGCAAAAGGATATGTTCCTGCAGTGCTAGCTTTATTGGAGAATTGATGGCATAGAATACTGAAAATGTTAGATGAAGATTGTTTGATTTGAGAAGGTTTTAACTTTACGAGTATGAGTACCAAACTCGTTGGTGTCCAATCAATTAGGATGTAATACAGAAAAACTAGGACTTTTTTTCATCAAGGAAACTTGATTTGGTTCAAAACTTCAAGGCCTTCTAACTAAAAGAGACAGCCCAAAGAATACTTGTCTAACTCATTAGAAAGGAGCAAGAAAGACTTGGGATTGCATTATGTGCTCCTAACCTGATTATGGATGTTAAAAGACACAGAAGAGGACCAGAAATGCAGTTTTTGTTATCTCTCCATTATTTTACTAATAGTGAGATGAAAGCTACTTGTATTTGACATCAAATGTGTGATGATGAATGTATTCCTGCAGTTTGTTGTTTGGATGTATGCCAGCATAATTACCTATTCCTTTTGTATCCTAAAAGCAATAACTCCTTGTTTTTGTAACTATTGTTTAGGCGGCAACATCATTGAACTCGAATGAGTGCTTCCTCCTGCAATCTGGATCTTCAATTTTCACTTGGCATGGAAACCAAAGCACCTATGAACAGCAGCAATTAGCTGCAAAAGTTGCTGAATTTTTTAAGGTATACTCTTCATAGAAAGTTGTTTTCTTTTGGGATTTGTCGTGACACCAGATTAAAGTACATGGGTTTGTTGGAAAACCTGGAATGACCTGACATAATAACAGTATAGCATCTAAGTTCCAAAAAGTTGAGTGGACCAATGAATCAATACAACTAAAGAATGTAATAACAGGAATATGCCTTTATATCCTGTATCAATCAAATGGTAAGATTTAATTCTTATATGATGATTATACTTCTTTTGAGTATTTACATTAAGTTTTCATTTGATCACAATTCTTCAGCTGATTATACCTGTTTTATGATTTTTGAGACATAGTTATATAGGTATTTGCAATTTTTTTCCTTTGAATCTTATCTGAATTCATAGTGGGACAGGATAAAATATACTCAAATTTAAACATTGAGTTGACTGTATGTCATCCCTTGCATAAGTATCTTTCTGCCTTTAAGCTTGTGATTTGCTCCTTATTGATAAAAGTGAATAGTAGCGTTGCCTAGTTCTTTCACACAACTCCTTCCCCCATATCAATCATTCATCTAATAATCTTCTTTTTGCATTAAGCCTGGAGTTGCTCTTAAACATGCTAGAGAAGGAACAGAGACCTCTACATTCTGGTTTGGACTTGGGGAGAAACAAAGTTATACCAGCAAAAAAGCATCTTTTGAGACTGTCAGGGATCCCCACTTGTTCACTTTCTCTCTTAGTAAAGGTGAGTTTTCTTATTTATAAATGTGATTTGCTTTATTTTCAAATTTGTGCTCTAAGATTTCTTACTCCTTCCCTCCTTTATTAATGAAGCTTGTTACCATTCTAACTGTTCTTTCCATAATTTTGTCTGTTTCCACGTGGATTCTTCAGGAAAGTTTGAGGTGAGTTATAATGTATTTGAAACTCTTTTCTACACTTCTCCAGTGTCTTCCATAAGTAAGTTTACATTCTGTTGTGCAGGTTGAGGAAGTATACAATTTCTCTCAGGACGATCTCTTGACAGAAGATGTTTTGATACTTGACACACATGCTGAAGTGTTTGTTTGGGTTGGTCAGTCTGTAGACACCAAAGAAAAGCAAAATGTTTTTGGAATTGGCCAGGTAATAAATAAAACATTGATTCATTTGTCATGTTATGCTTTCAATGTGTTCGTTATTCGTTTTAGAAGTTCTTTGCAGAAATACATAGACATGGCTGCATGTCTAGAGGGTTTGTCTCCAAATGTTCCACTTTACAGAGTTACTGAAGGAATGAACCCTGCTTCTTCACACATTCTTTCATGGGATTTCACCCGAGCTACTGTATGTGTCCTTGACTGGATTTTTCTATTTTATCCTTGAGTTACTGTAACTTCAATTATTGTTAGATCACTTTTCGTCTTCCCTTAGCAAGAATTATCATAAGTTATATTCTCAGTTTGTCTATACAAAATGGTCAATTTGAAGAAAATGCAATCCATATGGTTTTAACCAATGCAATTGTTTTGTAGATGAGGAAATGTTTGCATGTAGGTCTGATGGAGAGCCTGTATAAGATTAAATTAACATTTAACCACACCTTTAGCCATCAAATATAAGATTAAATGACCATTTAACCACACCGTTAACCATCATATTTAGCCTGGGTTTGATGAGTTTCTTTCTCTGCACAGAAAACAAATAAGAAGGAAAAAGAAAACAAACTTTAGAGCATGTGTGAGGTGCAGGAGATAAGAAGTCAAAGCATAAGGACTCCAAAATTTAAAATGAAATGAGAGAGCCCCAATGATTGAAAAGTGGGTCAGTAAGCATTATGATGACATATTGATGTTATATGGACCAGAGAAGGAATTGATTAGCATAAGCACTTTGTTTTAAGAACATAACATTCAATTCTTCAAAAAATTAAAATTTAAGGATCATACTATTGAGAGCTTCTTGTTTCTTGAAGAACATCACCATTACCCTATTGTTGTCACTCGCAGTGTACCTAGAATTAAAACAGTTCTAATTCTACACTTAACTCAGAAAAATTTATGAAACCTATGTTGTTCCTTTAAGGGTTAACTGCTCTTCAACACATGGTTCATCCTTCCTTTCATGTGTTCAGCTGTGTCTGTTTGATATTTACACTTAGATGTTCTCTGTGAACATAGGTGCAAGGGAACTCATTCCAGAAGAAGGTGGCATTGCTCTTTGGGGCTAGCCATGCTGTGGAGGTAAATTCTTTCTTTAATTCACATGGAGTGAATTTTCCTCATATGAAGTTTCTGTCTTGTATTCAGAGAAATTTGGATCATAAATGAGAGTTAATTTTGACCACTCCTTGTAAGGAACATAACTTATTAAAGCAGGTTTTTATTTTGATGGATTGAAAGCATGGATAAGATTGTGTTATAATGCTACATCTTTTGCTGTTGTTCAACATGGCTTCTTTGTGGTTTCCTGTTATAACCTTTATTCCTTCTTTAATGTGTTAAAAACTTTTAGCTGCTTATCCATTGTGGACACCAAGAACCATCTTTCTATTAAGCAATTTGTTGCTAACTTGAAATGAGGAAGTCTCTTAAGTGATACATAAAGCAAACTTTAAAGATGAATTTATGATATTATCTGTTACAGATGATATTGAATTTTAGTAGAGGTTGCCCCTGAGGTGGAAGTTTTATCTTGACCTTGTAGTCTTTGTGGGTAATAATTTGTATTGGTAAATTAAGGACTGTGATATTAGATCTTATCTGAAGACAAACATGTCTTTCTCTCAAAACAATGATACTCATTTACTAATCCTGTTCCTTGACTGATGGATTCTATGCTGCCAAGACGGGACAAGTCCAATGGGAACCAAGGGGTTCCCACTCAAAGGGCTTCAGCTTTAGCTGCCTTGTCTTCTGCTTTAGCTGCCTTGTCTTCTGCATGCAATCCATCTTCTGCCAAATCAACCCTTTCAGTAACAAACTGATTATGCTACTAAACTTTCATTTTATTTTTTAGTTTCAACTGTATCTACTTTTGAGTCTCAATTAAAAAATCTGAGAAGGAACTAAGTTGAACCTCTTGTACTTCATCTAACCACTCTAGTTGGAGAACGGTAAGATTATTAGCTGCTTTGGTATGGAAAAAGCAATTGTGCTTTATGGCAGCCTTTCATTGAAAATTTGAAATGTTGGCAGTTTTGATTCTTATGTATGGTTCTTTTCATTGGTAGTTTAACATAGTGAGGAGCTAATTCTGCTGACGACCCACCTAATGACGTTCCCAAAAAGTTTGAAAACGGGTTTATAACCATGGAGAACAATGCATTATAAGACTACATGTAGGGTTTCATTTACTTGAGAGATATTACCTACTGCAAAAAAGAGTCCTCATAACAGGTTATCCCAATGATGCCATTCCTAGCTGTCCCTTTTTCTGCCTCCTTTCTCTTGCATGCTTTTGTTTCGGCTGTTTGAACCTGTTCTGACATCAGATATTACCTACTTGCGTTAACAACAAGCTGTTTATGCTGTCTTTTAACTTCTGAATGTTTTTGCATCCTGGCTCCTTGGATTAATGTTTGCCATCCATGCTAGATGCCATAGCAGGATCCCAAAAGGCAGAAACCAAAAAAAGAAAAAAAAAGATGTAAATGAAAGGAGGAGAATAATGAAAAAAATTTGCCTCGGTATCTATGTATTTTACTTTTGGAAAATTATTTTTGTTCTCGCCACCTCTTGTACCAGTTATTTTCAGCTTGATAATGCATTTCTTTCCTCTTTTCTCAATTGGTTTGAATACTAGTTCTGCTTGTTTCCATCGATCATGTATGTTTTAACTTTAGGTAGTTAATTTGACCCTTTTGCCTCTGTATGTTACTGGATACCGCTTATTGTTGTTTCCATTTTGCTTTTGCACCCGTTTTCATGATACCTGCTTTAATGTATTATTTACGTATATAGTAATTATGATAAAGTTCTTTGTACCTGTATTTTGAGAATTAAAAGCATTCATTTACATTGCTTATGAGTTAAGTATTTGATATGCGCCATTATTACAGGCCCAGGATCGATCCAATGGAAATCAAGGCGGACCTACACAAAGAGCTTCAGCTTTAGCTGCCTTATCATCTGCATTCAATACATCATCAGGAAGCAAGACCTCAACTCCAAAGCCTTCCAGCACTAGTCAGGGATCACAAAGAGCTGCAGCTGTAGCTGCTCTTTGCTCAGTTCTTACTGCCGAAAAGAAGAAACAATCACCTGATGCATCACCTACAAAATCCACTAGCAGCACTCCTGCAATGACCAGCCCACCGGGTAAGAGCCCTTGTACTCTTTGGACAATTTTTTCTAAAAAAGGAACCATTGCGGTAGGATGATCCACAAGTTGCTAAATATTCTCGATGTTGCAGCTGATAAGTAAATTTGACCTTCTATCTTTTCATATAATTCTGAAACTGTATCTGATGCATTGATATTGCACAGCTGAAGCAAAGAGTGATGTTGACCCTTCTGAAGCAGAGGATTCTCGGGAGGTTGCTGAAGCCCATGAGACTGATATAGTCTCTGAAACAAATGGAGAGGATGAGATACAGCAGTATGAGAATGGGAGTGGAAGCACTCAAAGTACATTCCGTTATGAGCAACTGAAGGCCAAATCTGAAAATCCTGTGACTGGAATTGATTTCAAACGGAGGGAGGTTTGTCCTGCTATTGATGTTTATAAGTTTACTCTTATCTTTTTTCTGAATATTCATGTTCTTACTCTTTGATTTCTCAGGCTTATTTGTCTGATGAGGAGTTCCGGACTGTATTCAGGATGGCAAAAGAAGCATTTTATAAATTGCCAAAGTGGAAGCAAGACATGCTAAAGAAGAAAGCTGATCTATTCTAGAGCATGAACCCATTTAAACGAGTAATTTATGTGCTTCCTCTGCAGCTTTTATTCTAAAAATCAATCCCTCATTTAATTCGATCTTCACTTCTGCCTGAAAATTGCCTGGATTGCCCTGTCTTAGTTCTTTTTCATTTGCCTTTTTGATGAATGTGGCTGCGGTTAGTATCCGGATTGATTGTGATGTTGCCTGAAAGGGTGATTTTTTATTTTTTTTGTTCCCCCTCTCCTCTTAGCCTCACTGCCTTTATAATGATCACATATTGTAGTTAAGGACAAGTGGCAGGTCAACATTCTTTTTATTTGGTTGGCATGTATTTAATCTTTGTAGTTATTCATCTTTGATCTTTTGTCCATGTTTTAATTTGTTAAAGGAGGAGGTGGTGTATATGATTTGCATTTGTATTGAACTCCAATATAAGTAATGAAAATTCATGGTTTGAGAAGTTATGTTTTCATGTTGATCTTTGTTAGGCTACAAAATCTCTTTATTACAGACTGAAGGAGGTGAAGTAGGCAGTTGAATAGTGTATATTCTTTGCTAATGGGAGGGACTTGGTTGAGTTAAGAAGGATTGAATATTTTACTTGTAAGATTATTAATGTTTAATTCCCATTGTCAACAATTTTCATTAGTAGGCAATCTATTAATGTAAAGTTTATACAACTGGGCTTGCAGTCTCTCTTGGTCCTAAATTGGGGAAATCTCCTTTTACTTTAACTTGCCATGAAAATTTTCTGCTCTATGGTCATCCCTAATCATAATCATACGAGAGGAAATAATAAATTTATTTTGGGATTTCTATTTGCATCCAAAAATTATTCTATACATCTATTTTCTAGGCACGCTCCAAATATAAAAACCTAAACTCAAATTTTAATATAGGGGTAAGTTGTCTTTGATTTTTGTTAAATATTGATTAAATTAAAGTATGATGTATTAAATTTTTTTTCATGAATACGTGAATAACGAAAATATTTTTTTATAAATTTTTAAGGGTTTACAAATATAGAAATTCATAAATTTTTAAATATTTACAAAAACGTATTCTCCTGTAATTTTAAATCCATCAGATATGCATGTCATATACCTTTAAAACACACCAAAGTTCATTACAAAAATTGAAACACACAGACGTGACAGCTTATGGCAATTGTTTGAGCAAAAGGTTACATCGTATCGGACCTGACATGTGGAGACAAAATATCCAATAAGCTATAAAGCATGAATTGATAGGATTAGACAAATATCCAAACATCCACCATCAACATTTTGCCATTCATTGACCCAAAACTCAATTTCAGAGAAAACCTCAGTAAAACCTACAATATAAAATTAAATATATGACATCACAGAGAGGAAGTAACGGATTAAAGTCATATTCTAAAGCCTAGGAAAGCTAAAGAAGACACAAAGCTGGGGTTCGACTCCATTTTTGTAGCATAGGATTCTGTCCCTTCTTAACAAATTAAAAAAAAAAAAAAAAGGAGTATTCTAAAATACTTCGTAAATAGAGTAAAATTTTTTCAAAATTACAAATCCAATAAATTAAAACAAAATGGAATATGCATTTTTTAAAAGATTAAAATTTTTTGAGTTTTTAAATTCATAAAAAAATGCAATATGAAAATACATTATCTTTTTTAAAATGCATGTCAAATTGAATTATTTTATTTTTGAATATACATGTCCAATTAAGTTATTTTATTTCCTAAAGTACATGCGATTGGTTTATTATCTTTAAAAAATGCATGATATTGAAAGGTTAAATTATAATTTCAGTACGATTAATTAAGTCTTTCATTGTAAAAATATTTTTGTCATTAAAAAAATAAATTTCTTTGAGTGTAAAGAGCAAAAATTATTATCTGTTTTTAAATTCTTAATCTACCCATAAACTTTTATCTTAATAATTACTTAATTGAAAAAAAAAAAAACATTGTACTTATAAGTTATTTCCAACTTGTAACCTCCAATTGTATGAGATAAAAATTTATGGTTAACAAATGCATATCATAATTATTTTTTAGAGAAATATTTTTTTTTTATTTCGTGAATCATATTAAAGACAAAAACATTTTTTTTTAAAAATGACTAAAGGGTTAAAAAACCTCTAAACTTTAATTAAAACTCATCTAAGCTCTTATTTTTTATTACAATGATTAACTTCTCCAATATTTATTTGCATTTAATTAAATTTTTATTTGGATTAAAAAATTAATATAATTAATTTTTTTGTCAACTAAAATAAAATTTATTTAACATCAATAAAAATGATTAAAATTTGACAAGTGACGTAATTAATATATATACATATAAAATTAATAAACTAAATTTTTTTTCTTTTTTTTATTTTCTTTACCTCTTTCTCTCAACATCTTTCTAAAAGTTCAATTAACTATAATTCCAAAGTTGATTGATTAAATTATATGACATAATTAGATTTCATCTATTTAAAAATTTAATTGAGACAAAATAAAAATTTAAGGACTTCATTAATTATAATAAAATATCAAAATTTTAAATAATTATTGAATTATAATTAAAAACATTTTTTACCCTTTTAGCCCAAAAAATTATATCACATTTGAATATTTGACTCATTGACACATGTATGTATATATAATTTAAATCATCATTATTAGTTCATTAAAGTAAGTTAAAGAAGATGATTTGTTTATTCAAAGAAAGCTATTTTAAAAGAGGGTAAGTCTAACTTTGATTGCCACCATTGCAGAAACGCCGCTACAATATATTTATTAGATTTAATTGTATCGTTTAATTCAAAAAAATTTGTAGCGTTATATTTTTGGAGAAGCGGCACCTAAATCTTTCGGTCTCAACTTTCTTGCCTAACTCCTTACTTTGTGATCTTAAATTAAATCAACAGAGAGAGAGAGTGTGTGCGTGTTAGTTTGTAAGCTCCATTCTCTCTCTCTCCCCGACCACATCCAAATTCCCCATGTCTCTATAACTAATTAAATGCTCTTTTGTATTTTTGGTCCTATTATTGAATATTTCTCCTGATTAATCAATTTGTGTTCTTCTCACAAATACTTCATTTCTTTTTCTAATACATATATATATATATAAGTAATTTTGAAGAGATTAAAGTAAAGTTTATAAAATAAAAGAGAGTATTTCAGTTTTTTTTTATACTTGAAATTATTAAAATTTTAATATTTTATCAAGATCGTGACAAAAATATATCATTTAGTATAACTAACAAATCAAGTAGGGATTTTTATGTACCAAAAAAAAAAAGAAAAAAGAAAAAAAAGAGTCAGCATCATGCTTAATTATTTGGGAAGAATTTTACAGCTAGCACTTGTAGATTCAATCTTCCAAAGTGGGTCATTCTCAAAACAAGAAGGGTTAGAGGCTAAGCTAAAATCCAATGCATTTATTCAAATTCATGCTTTGCATACATCAGTTTTGGAATTTTCTTCATTTCCTTGAACCATACACATGCCCTTGTTCTCATTATAAAGCCTAAAAAATGTGGTGTGGCTTTTGTGGAATCAACTATACTTTCTTCTCTCTTATATATGTAAGGGCCTACAAGCATCTCACCCCTCAAAATCCAATCAAAATTGGGCTGTAATTTTCATGTATGAATAATGTGATGAATCCTGGCACGTTATGGTGTGTCGGTCTGTTGGCTTTTCTAATGGAAGGGTGAATATGATCAATTAGTTTTTTTAGGGCTAGAATTTGTTCAAAAAAAATTTTGAAGTTCTTCTAAGCTCTCAAGTCTTTAATGCGAATGAATTATTGTACTTTTCTTTATCTTTCGTTTTCATCATATAGTATTACCGGTTTTTAGCTTAATTTATAAAAATAAAAAGGGTATAATCAATAACATCAACATTAAAAAATTATTATTTTATGAATATATATATATATATATATATGTTTTGAACTACAAAATGAGAAGTAATTCACTCTAATTTTACAAATCTCACTCCCTAAAGTGGAAATTTTAAAGTTTTAATTGTCACTACAGGAAAACGTGTTGTGTTGTTCTCTTAGAAATTTTTTAAACATGTATATTATTTGATCTTACACATAGCTTACTTACTTTATGTTTATCTTTTTATAGAGTTATAAATATAATTAAATATTACATCTATTAATATAATAAATCATTGAATTAAATCATACAAACAAATTAATTAATAAATCAATATATGACTAAATAAATTCAGCATAAAATTAATAAGATTTGAACCTGAATCCTCTAATCTAATTATTATGTACAATATTGATATTAATATTCTTGATTTTTTTTAACAATTTAGAAGAGAGAGTTGGAGTTAAGACCTCATTTAAAGAAGGAATAATGATAATTGTGTTGCACTAAAATAATTGAAGCTCTCGTTTTGGCTAATAATTAAATGCATGATCAAAAGCAGGCTGTTTATTAAATGCCGACTATTAAATGCATGATCAAAATGCTAAGTAGAGGTTTATATATAGACACTGACGTATATGTTATTGATTATTGATTTGAATACAATGCCTCCTTGAATTAATTTGTGGGCTTCATTTTCATGTTAACAAGTTGAACAATAAAAACAATACATTTGTCCTACCTCACTCTTCTTTGTGTGCAAGGATTTTGCTATTTCAAATTAGACTTTTCTCATTTCTTGTATAAGAATTTTGAATTTCACAAAATAAAGCTATCTCTTTCATTCCATAATCCTAACTTGCATCTAAGGTCGGCAACTAGTCGAATTCGAGCAAGTTTTTGCTTGATCTAATTCCAACCCAATCCTTTAATATTTAAATTCGATTTCAATTTGAATGGACGTCAAAATAGTATTTTTTTCATAACCCAACATGTATATTTGTAAACCGATTCGACTTTAAATTAATTTAATAGATTTAAGTGGTATAGCATTAATAATATAATATAATATAATATAAAATTAACTTAATAGTATTTTTTTAATACAAATTATATCTTAATTACATATAAATATAATATTTTTATTAAGTTAATATCTTAAATTAAAGTATTAAATAACAATTTTATTAATATAATACATATATAAATATAAAATTAAATAAAAAATAAAAATATATTTTAAATAAAAATCAAGTTAAGGCAATGCAACCTAAAACCCGACTCAACTCAAACCCGACTTTCAAAAAAAAAAATTTCAATCTACCTCCAACTTGACTTCTTTTTTTAAAAAAAAATCTAACTTTATCGGATCCGGACGAATAAAAATTTATAGGGTACAAGTTATTTTGTCATCCCCACTTACATTCAAAATTTCAACTCGAGATTTTTTAGATAAAATTTCAAATGATAACCATTAATTCAATTCGCGATAACCTTTGTCATTAATTTGGATTGTCATGAAATTTGAATTTGATTATTGACCTCAAGTATCATAAACAATTCATAATTAAGACAACTTTATTTTTATTTATGTTATGATTGAAGTTTAA